AGGTGCAATGGGGGGGGACTGGTCCCATCTGCGCCCTGTGTCACGCTGTCCCTCCTCCCGGTGCCCTCTGGCAGCCACGGGCTCCTGACAGGCTGCAGAGCTATTGATGCCATTTGCCTCTGCCCTGGGGGCTTTTTGGTGATGGAAGATGCCTCCATTAATACAAGGGAAAGCAGCAAATGTCTGGAGATTTAAAAAAAAATAATAATAAAAAATAATCAGGAGGGTTTGGGAGATTGATGCGACAGGCACTGTCGCTTTGCTGCTGGGGTGCAGAAAGGGTTAAACCCCAGGATTGCTTTGGGAAATTGGTATGGATGGGAGCGAGACATCGGGAGCAGAAGAGCTTCAGTCAAGCAGCCGGTGAGCGGAGCGATGCCGTGAAGCCCTTCCGCTCGGTCCCTGACCACCCCGGGCATCCCGATGTCCGGCATCACCTCCCTCCCCGCCATCAGTCATTTCTGCGCTGCAGCTTGCCGGAGCCACGGCTGCGAGGAGCCGAACAAAGGGGGAAGATGGCTGTTCCTCCTCCCGCAGACATCACGGGCGAGAAGGAGCAAAGTCCTGGCAGGAGGTCACAGGCTTTGGCACTTCACGAGGCCAAGCGGAGATGGGCCAGGGAGATGCTGGCGCTGCCAGCCATCAGCGACACCGGCTCCCAGCTCTCTGCACAATGATCAAAGCCTTCCTGGAAGCAGAGCTGGGACCTCTCATCTCCTGCACGGGTGGGTTGCAGAGTCAGGGACAGCAGAGCCACTTCCCGCTGCACCACCATGCCCGGCTGCAGCAGGACCGCGTGGTATAACCCAGCAAACCATCGCCCACGCCATCCCCATCGGCCTCCAGCGCCGCCTCCTCCGCAGCTGCCAGCTCCCCCCGCAAGCCAAGTCCTCTCCCCAGCGCTCGTGCTGGATTCACCCCCGCTACGTCGAAGCAGAGGGGGTTCCCCAAGATACAAACTCCAGAGGAGCCAGGGCACGGGGAAACCCACACCGCCTCCATCCCCTCGCACCACCCTAGCGGCACCATCCCACAGCCATCGGCGACAGACGCCACAGCCCGGCTTTTCCTGGCCAGACCATCCCACCTAGCAGCTCTCCTCCCCACAGTCGAGAGGTTTGGGTTAAAAACCAAGCCACTGGCCTCTCCCGTTCCCCGCACGGTTGTTCTCCCCTCGGGAAAGCTCTCTCCGCAGGCAGCCCAGCCTGAGCGGATGCTTCAAACATTGCCCAAGCTGCAAACACAGCTTTGCCCCCACCCCACACCCACGTTACAGGCGAGGAAAGGGGCTGGTGCCAGGGGGAGGTGGCAGGGGCTGCCTCACCCCGGCCGTGCCCCCAGCCCCGGGTGGCCTCTCCCATGGAGGGATGCACCGGAGCTGGGTGGGTGTTTTAAATATCAAACCAAAGACCTACAAGGAAAGAAAAAAAAATATTCCCAGGAGTGCTGAAGGGGCTCCTGCCAGAACATTAATACTTGCCAAAAAAAAACTTGTCTTTAATCAGACACAGCAATATATTCAGTTTTATGTCCATTCTGCATCTATCTTTATTGCTTTGGGCCACTTCAGCTCAGGAACCTGCTCCCCAATGCTCTGCCAGGGATCAGCACCCCAGGAGGATGCAGGGGGGACCCCAGGGACCCCCTGCTGCAGGGAGAGGGTGAGCCCTGAAAGCAAGGCACTGCAAGAGAAGGAAAAAAGGAAATTTGTCAAATGACTCAAAGCTTGGTGGTGGATCCATCAGAGAAGATCTTTAATTCACTTCTGATCTGAACCAAAAGAAGTTACTTTTTCTTCCCAGCCCCATCTAAAAGTAACCGCCCCTGCCAGGGGAGCTCCCAGGGAGAGCTGGTGGGTCGCAGGGCCAGCATCAGGGACCAGAAGCACACCTTCCCTGGAGGGGTTCTGCATGGCTTCCCACAGCTAGATTGCTGCATTTCAGGTGATAGCTCACTTGAGGAACACACAGCTGAGAACTTCAGCTAGTTACCAAAGCCATGTCTGACATTTGCCATGCCATCCCTTGGGGACACAGGTTGAAGTCCCCCCATCAGCACAGGGACCTGCTCTGCTCCAGGATGCCCTACAGCAGGAGGTGGTCTGCAAACTCTGAAGGAGGGCCCTGGGCTCCACCAGCACATGGGACAGCTGGTGAAGAGACCCCCACCTTCCTCTGCTGAGGGGTCTCATGTCCTGGGGAGAGAATGAGAAGTGTCTCTCCAGGGACCCCCAGGCCCACAGACCTGCACGAGCTCCCAGCCATCACGCCCTCTCCATCAGGCAGGCTGAGGGACCGGGGGAACCCTGGGCACGCGGTTTGTGACATGCCAAGGGAAACGGGGCAGGAGCTAGGCTAGAAACCTTGCATTTCAAGTATTTTCATGAAGGGGGCTGAATGCTGCAGGAGGAACCATCTAAAGCAGTCTGGAGATGCTCTACCAGGGCAGAGCATGAGATCAGCCCCTGTGCATGCTGGTGACTCCCCTCATTTCTCCCACCCAGCACATTTCACAGCCCTCCACGTAGGATGGAGAGCAGGAGATGTGCATGAAAGCAGGGAGACACCATGGCTCGAGTCCCTCAGCTGGGGGCACAGCCCTGCTCCATTCCAGCAGCCCACCCTCAGTTACACCAGGCAGAGGACTTCCAGGAGATGGAGGGTGCAGAAGAGCATCCCTGTGTCACAGAGCATCCCTGGCCCACGCCAGCCACCACATCCACTGCGGGATCTCTGGCACCAGGGCTGGGACTTGTCCTCCCCACCCAGCCTGGCTCCAGGGGACAGGCAGAAAGCAAGACACCCCTTGTGTTATCTCGGGGTGGGGGGAGCAAAGCAACCTGCACCAGCACTAACGAAAGGGGCAGGAGAAATTACCCTAGTGAGAGCTCCTGTGGCATGACTGAAACACTGCCATCAGCCGAGTCCCACTCAGCTGCAGGGCGAGCTGCCTGTCATTAACCCTTCTCACTGCCCAGCCAAGTGGTTTGGTTTGGAGGGAGGGGACAGGGGGGTGTTTCCAAACACCATCAAGGGCGATCTCAAGATTTAAGTGTCAGGCTGTTTCCCCAGGAGGATTGATGGAGGACTCTTGCCCCCTTGCAGAGGAGGGAGCAGCTCTCCGTGCAGCACATCAGCAGCCAGCTCGGCATGAGCGGGGCAGACCTGCGCAGGACACGGTGGCACAAGTGCCTTTAGGGCTGCCATGCCACCATGCCAGCTGAGGACTAACAGCTCAGGACATGGGTGAAGGGCAGCAGGGTAAACAACATCAGTGATAAAAGGGACTTTGGCAAAAAGCAGGGAGGTTGCCCGGGGACAGCAGCTGTAGGAGAGCATCGAGAGGGGCTTTGCAGCAGGACCCTGCAGCAGTTTGAGTTGTCTCTGCACCTTTCACCAGGCTACCAGGCTGCTGAGAAGGGGCACATCCTCTCCTGGGTCCCTTGTGCCTGGTCCCGCTCCTGGTGAGGGAGCGCCCCGGCTGCTCACCCTGCACACATCCGACCGCAGCGGGGGAGCAGGGATGCCCGAGCATCCTTTCCACCCCCCCATGATGGGCCCAAACCCTTGGGTTGAGCACACAGACCACGGGTGGGTTGCCCTGCCTGTCCCACCTCCTGCTCTGGGTGGAGGTGAAAGCCAGGCGCAGCACCCCTGCTTCCCAGCCAGTCCCTAGTCAAACACACACCCCACACCCCGACACCTCCCAGGCTGGACATCAGCAAAGACCATTCCAGAGCCCTGCGCATCCCCATCGGGGCGATGCAAGGAGACAGCCAGCCTGCCAGGCACAGAACGACAGAACGCCTTGGAAGGGACCTTAAGGACCATCTAGTTCCCACCCCATCGCAAACCAAATCAATCCAGTGCTAATTTAAAAAGCAACACATTCATCAAGCCTCCCTCCTCAAGCCGACAGCTTCGGCATGCTCAGACCAGCCCACCGAAGCCAGCAAAGCCCCAGCAGGCGACGGGCAGGTGGGGGGCTCTTTGGCACACCACTGCATTGACTTTTCTGCTGACCGCTTCCACCCTTGGGTTCGAGAGCTGCAGCAGCTCTAACCCAGCGAGCGCTGGGCGATGCAGGCACACGGAGCTGCAGGACACCTTCCCCGCACAGCGGGCGCAGACCTGCCAACGACAAGCCCGTTCCTGCAGTGGGTTTGCGCTGTTGATGTGTGCCAATTAAAGGGGTCTCACTGCCAGCACCGCAGCTGGGGCCCAGAGCTGCCCCCTCCCCAGCATCTCCTGCCTCCCAGCACCACCCTCTTGCCCAGCCAAACCAGCTGCTCCCCCTGAGCAGGGGGGT